TTGAATTGTGAATAGTAATACACAAAACTTAAGCTGTATTTGTTCAGATTACCTCTAAATCTAGACAGAGCATCCTACAGTACATATAAAATCTGGTGTCTTATTCCATGAATGTGAGGTCTGTATTAAAAAAGGGGGATTTCTTGACAAGATCAGTCCTGGAAATTTTGTGGTTGTTAGAGGGAATTTTCTCAATTTTGGTCATCTATGGGTCCTAGAAGAGGATAGATATAATTAAGAAATGTTTTAGATAAGATCAACACCTGAATTAAATCAGGCATAGACAAAATATGACAATCTTTTCACAAATTAAATCTTATTTTGGCAACGGTGAGTTGCTTCCCCAGATCATAAGAGTTGTTTTATTTATATATATATAATAGCAGCATTGACCAGTTCCTGTCATCTCAGACCAGTGCTCTTTTGTATTGAACATAATCATTTATTGATATACTACTTGCCTAAAGGTACTTTGAGGGAAAATATAATTCTGTGAATTTATACAAGGGTAGTAAGACAATCTTTTTTATTCCATAATCAGTAAAAGCCATGAAACCTTTTGATTGCGGTTGTAAAGGTGACACACAGACAAAAAAATGCTCCAATATTGACTTCCTATGCATTTAATACTCCAGCATGTACAATTTGAAAACTAGCTAGACCAGACTGTTACTGATTCTTTTAGAATTTTTAAAAAATAAATTAGCTCTACACCTCATGTGTTGTGCAGAAGTGAGCCAGTGCTGCAGCATTTACAACTGCAACCCAAAAATCACAGTAATGACTCAACATTAAACATTGCCCTAATCCCTTATAGCTCTTCGTCAGCACTGATTAAAATTTTTCTCACTCCAGAGTGCTTTGAACATATAGTTTGACCTGCTTTTATAATAAGTTTGTTATTACAAAAACTTTGTGGCATTTCAAATTACATTCTAAGGCAGTCGGCTTTTCCTTAAATATAGAAGAAAGATAAAATACATGAAACAGTAACATCATAACAGAAGTAACATTCAGGCCTGAAAAAACATTGAATTTTACAACCATGAACCCATCATACCAAGACTTATGGTTGATCTAATTTTTAATAATGTAAGAAATGTTTCAAAGATAAAAATATCACCATATATAAAACAGATTTTATTTTTTAATGAGTTGAAATGTGTTTAAAGTACTATAAACAGGTTATAATAATATAAACTCCATTTTCAACATCATCAGTGATTATTTATTTTAAGTGTATTCATTATATGCTAAAGTGTTGAATATAGTTACATTCACTCTATATTAAACTTATAATAATAATAAAAAAAAAAAAAAACATAAAAAAAAGCTACAAAAAGAAAACCTTTTTTAATCTACAATAAACCTTCCTCAGCAGAAAGGTACAGAATTTATCCTCAAAATTGGAGTTCCACAGATAATGAAACTAGTTTATTATGCAAAGCTTTGCAACATATGAATGCTTTCATTTTTAGGGCTATTTTTTCTAGTATCCTCCTGGAAAAAAGGGCATGCACCAGGAACTCTAAAGCATTGTGCAATAATGCATGAAGAAAAATGGGAGGGATGGATTCCTGATGTAACTCGTGTTGCTCTGTGATTTGATCCAGCGGAAGGAAAATATTTCTACACTCCTGAGTAAAACGCATTACTTTATGCTCTCTGATCTTGTTAAAAGCTTACTGACTCCATCTAGTTAAAGTTAAGTATTAACCATGTATAATCAGACAGTTTTAACAAACTGTGTATGGGCAGGCCTCCACAGAACTCCCTCACCACTTGAATTGTAAAATGTTTTGCAGGCTTGCCCAAAGCTGAAATACCCATAGAGTTAAAGCAGTACAGTAAATTGTCCTTTGATTAAGTGGCAATCTTATATGTGGAACAACACAGCCACAAAAGTCAGCTTCACGCATTATCCTTTTATTTACAGCACATATGAGCTATACAAAACACACTTGATGCTAGGGAGCTGATTGATTCAACCACTGTATGCTACAGGAATCAACTGGTGGGGAGAAGCTGCAGTAGTTTATCTACTGCAAAGTAATCTGGCAAATATGTATCATTTGGGGGCCAGTTCACAGCATTCTGCAGCACATCAAATTGTAAGCTTTATAAACGCCTCAATCCAGTGTGACAGATAGATATAAACAGTGCTTCAGTAAATAGAGATGACCCTTGAAGGTTACCATCATTCACTCACGCAGACTGATAAATGTTCCATAAAGGCTCATACAGCCTCGCTACAAGTTGACAAAAATCTGGCATCATAAAAAAACAGATATGTCATGTTCAAATCTGTTGAACTCCATTTGAAAGCCACGGTACACTCTAATGCAAAAGTATCAAACTCCTAGCAGTGTGTCTGGTAATAATTTTCAGGTTTAGGTTGATATCTATTAGAATTTGACCCTGTTAATTAGTGCCAAACACGTTACAAGATAATGAAATATCAAGGCATTGGCACGGCATTAAGTACAATGTTAACTGCTTGGCATTTTTCACTCGATAATCAGATCTAATCTGACATCAAGGCCATGTAATGTTAACTACACGGTCTGATAACAGTTCAGTTCATTTTCTGCACAAATTATACTACATTACTGCAGCTGTTAAGTACAAAAGTCCTTCAATGTATGTTAGTACTGTATAGTGCTTTGCACAGTATTCGTCCCCCTTCAAATTTTAATATTTCATAAACCATAATCTTCAATGTATTTTATTTGAATTTTAACCAACAAAAATTGCAAAAAGAAGCAGGAAATAGATGTCTTTTTAAATAAAAGTAGCTAATATGAAAGGTTTAGCTAGCATTTCTGTTTAGCCCCTTTTACTCTTATACCCCTTAATAAAGCCCAGTAAAACCAATTTAGGATGGCTGAATTAGCGAATACAATCTATTTATATAAGGCAAGGTAATCAACAAAAAATGCTTCTATATCTAAATCACTCAATGTAAAGAAAAAAAAAATTTAATCTGTGATAAAAAAAGATTAAAATATACACCGTCTAGACCTTGTTTAACATAATCTTTGCTATTTAAAAGTGTCTTTAGCTGCATTATTTTTAATGAAGTAAATCAATTCAGTGTGAAAAAGGTGGCAACACACTTTACAACCTGATAACTATTGTTTGACAAAAAACAAACTGTCTTTTCTCACCAGCTTATCCAAGGTTTTGGGATGTGTTGTGAAGCACTTAAAAGGTCAGACAAGAAAGCTGAGTTTAGGGCATGCAGTGCTTCAAAGGTGTCGACTAAAATATAAAAATGAATTCTATAGTAATTGGGGAGGCAATATGAAAGTGCCAAAACAGGAGTTACTGTAAGTGCTCTCTTTCTTATTTTGTTTAAAAGCCTAGCAGCAGTGTTCTGGACTGACTGGAGTGAGTTATTCTGTCTTTTTATTGAAGGTGTTAAAAAGACTGTTACAGTGGTTCACATGGGAGGAGAAAAATGTTTAAAAACCACCCCCAACTCAGTTTCTGACACGAAGCAGAGCAGAGCCGTTTAGATATATTTTTCAACTAAAATAACCTTTTTTTAATATTTTCTTAAAATGAGCCTTAGAGTTCAAGACAAAGCCCACGTCAAGCTTTATGCGGTTTGGCTAGAAAATGAAAGCCATCATACCTAGGTGTTGTTTGATATCAAAACTGTGAGTGTCAGGATCTATGATCAGACTCTGTTTTATTTCACACTTCGGTAATATAACAAAGTCCCAACACATCATACAGAACTCTTTAATCTATGATCTCCAAACAGAAAGAATATGGAACAAATGGAAACCGAATCTAAATTTAGCTTTAATGAAATAATGAAAGAAGAATGCCATTGTTAGACAAAAGCTCTAATCCTATTTACAGTCGGGCTCAATCTATGTAGGGGCCCCAGCACAAATAAAAAAAAAAGTTGCTCTAGTCACATGAAAACTACTTAAATTTGTTTGCTATCCCCGTAAAAACACTGTGCACATTGTGGAATAAACCCCACCCAAAAAACAACCGACTATGCACCTCGTTACCTTCTTAACAACTTCGCTTCAATGAAACGTTAAATACAGCATCATGTTTTAGGGAAACTATCTCAGCAAAACCAGTGAAGTTGAGATAGTTTTACGATGCATGAAGCTAAAAATAGCACAATTCTGGGAAAAAAAAAAAAAAAAATATATATATATATATATATATATATATATATATATATATATATATAACAACAACTACAGGCTGCAAAAAACACAAGACTGGACACAGTGTTCACCTTTTAGTTGGGTAATTATATTTAAGAAATTACTTATTGTACCACATAAGAACCTTGACGCTACAGCCTGAGCTGCAGGGACAGTTGCTGAGATGATTTATTGTAATAGACCAGGTAAAGTTCAAACCTTTTCTAATTGAAAACTCTTTCTCTAGGCATCCAAATATAGACACATAGCTCAAAGCTAGCCGGTTTTAAAATGGCTTAAAAATATTGACCCATAGGGAAATATATAAAAGCAATTTTATGAATTTTCTATATTGAAAAGATCCTTTCATCTACAGTAACAACAATGCAGTACTCTTTGTGGTATATTGTAAAAATGCCCCAAATTTACATTAAGGTTTGTGGTGGTAACATGATAGTGTGTGAAAATGATAAAGGTGTGTAAAAAATGTTGCACGGTCCTCTAAATGAGATTATCACCGTTTAAGAGTTATGTATTTCTGAGTTTGATAGCACTCCCCAGCAAAGAGGAATTAGATAGTCAACAGACCATTTGAGTCTGATTAGTCTCAGACTGGCTTTTAATTTGATATGCATGCAGACCTCAAATTGCCAGGCGGATAAGTCGTCCATCAGATCTAGACATGCATGGCATTTGAGGATTTGTGGTTCAGCTGTGGACCAATCATTTCTGCTTACAGAAAAAAATTAACCAAATTCCAACACCGAAAGTGCCTCAAAAAGAAGAACATTTCTCTGAAAGTGGCTGCTCTTTCATTTGTCATACCTTATCAGGGTTATCTTCAATCCACTTCTTCACTGTATTCAGAGCAATGTCTGCTGCAGGCTCATTGGGATAGCCTAAGGAGACAGTGAAAACAGTGTAAACACAAGTTAAACTTAGCATGCACCCACCCACCCAAAAAAAAAAAAGAAACTGAGTACGGCAACAAAGTACATTAGTCTGGAAAGTGATACTTCCTCAGGTAGCAGAAGCATTGCTATTAAATGAATAAAAAGCAGCACAACCTGCTCTTCTTAGTGAGATAAGACCAAATGTCTCATCAACTGCTGTTGACGAGTGCTGCCAGATGCAGGGTGATGTAAAAACACAGACAGACAATATTGCAGGGTCTTTAAAGTGTTGATACAAGGTACATAGAAAGAAATCACACCCTTACTCATTACCACCTCAAGAAGAACTGATTAATGTTTTATCTTTATGGGGAAATTACACTTTGATGTGTGATCATGCACACTATTCTTTTATTTTATCAGCTTGCCAACATGAACCTGTAGTCTAGACACAATGCAGCAAACTATCATATTAACAGTTGTGTTTAAAGGGTGTTAACACTAAAGAACAACTGTGCTCTGATTATTTTCTAATTAGACCAGGAAAAAGAAGACTGCTTGATACTAATCTTAAAATCACTTGCTGCTTCTGTAGATAACTTCACAGGACCAAACTCCAACAGCGAAATATAGACTTGAATAGATAGCTTGATAGAGTAAATAGGCCAGTACCAAAAGAGCTGAAAAATTGCTAATATGAAGTTCTTCAACTTTCATTGATCAAAAAGGAATCATTGTTTTGCTAAATAAAAAGTTATGACAATTATAAAGCAAACATTTTTCTGCTTCCAAGTGAAAATTAGATCAGAGAATAATCATGTACTATGGGTTATTATCTTCTCTTTTCCATGTAAGGTTCTACCGTTTCTTTGTTTCATTTTTTTTTTTTCTGAAAAGAACCATTATCATAGTTTTAGATGCCCTCTTTGGTTTCCCACAGAAAGTACCCCTGGTTCAATGATTCAATGTGCAGCTGTCACACAACTATTGATAAAGGTATTGCTTCCTCTAACTACATGTAATCTCTTTGTTTTTGTTGTGTGAGTTCATGATTTGGCTACATCTCTGTCCTGAAAAGAGTCACTGATAGAGAATTTCCTATCAATAACTATATGTTCTGTCATGTTTTAGGTTTCTAATGAAAGTAATACTCTCCCAGTAATATAGCCTTTAGTTTGGTCTCTTTTAACGATAGAGCCTTAGAGTGAGCTATTGCTACAAGTAACTATGGGGAGTCTTTGTTTTTGTTCCTTAGAAAATACCTCTGGCTCCAGGATTTGGTTTAGGATACAATAAAATAACACAACGTCTGTGTGGGGAAGTTTATGCATCAGTGAGCAAAGTCATGTATCCCAGATTAAGGACAAATAGAAGCAAACGCATATACACAAAAGTGTAAAAGCTATGAAAAGATAAAAAGAATAGGAGACTTTGCAGTAAGGGCAAATTTGCAATACAAGAGACTGCATTTAGATTTAACTCCAACTTTTACTGTGCAAAGGCGGTGACATATATTGATTATTTTCAATGTATAACTTTTTCTTACAGACAGTAAACAGTACTGGGTCAAGGCTTCAATTTTTTCATATTGCGACTCAGCTCCTAGTAAGTATTGACCATGGGCCACTCATACCGAACAGAGTTCTGTTGGAGGTTTCCCACTGTTAAAAGGTCAAAGAGGACTTGCTGCAATTGGATAGTCTAGTTGGAATTGTGATTATCTGAATTGTATTTCTCAATTTCTTAAACACTATATTACCTTTAACTGGATATAAGCTGAGATTGTATTTCTTCTAAAATGCCCTAAGAAAGTATATAACTAAACTTAATTGAACATAATATTATGTCTATAAAAGATGTCAGCTTTCAATTATCTTACAGAGTCCTGGATGTTTCCAAAATTTAATAACACTTTAGAGATACTTGAAAAGGCAGTGATGAATTACCATCTTGCCAGAGAAAAGCTTGACTAAAATAGGTGATCTAAAAACCTCCAAATATTAATATTTCTTTTTGCTTTTCTACAAAGACTGATTGCGCTTTTAAATGATGGAAAAAGATAACATGGTTGAATAACTTCACATTAAACCTGAGGTGCATGATGTACTGGGGTAAGGGGGTAGGTGGAAGAAGTGATGCATGTCGTCTTGTGCCAACTTTTGAAGCTTATGGGGGCCATTTTATTATTTAAGGTTGTCAGACCAGGTTCAGCAATGTGCCCAAAAAAATTAGGTCACCTGTCTCCTCAGAAAATACAAAATGAACAGGTTTTTCCATCAATAGACTTTCCTTATTTCCTGAAAGAGCATGACTATTCTGAGAAGACAATGCCAGAACTCATCAGGGTCAAAATATGAAAAAGTGGATCACACAGCTGGAGACATTATGTCGAAATGGATCCACCTTTTAACTCCATCTGGAATGATGAAGACTCTGCATTCATAGAAACACAGACTCACAGATGAACCTTAAATTTTACATACATTCTTTAAGGTAGTTTGTGGCTGCCCTTCTGCAACCTATAAGAAAGATTGTCGTCATGCAACATTCAGAAACCAAAAAACAAGCAGAGCATTTTTCTTCAGTCTAAATGAGCCCATAGAAGATTTACAGCTCTACTTAGAAACCCTTGACTCTCATACGGTACCACAGGGTCGAAGGAGACTCTATAACAACAGAGGTTAACACCTCAATTTCAACCAGCACCGACTAATCCAATGACCTGGTCACAGTTGCAACTTGTTAGTTAGTGCTTTGGTCATATTTTCAAAAATATAGATTTCTATTTTCTTCAGTCATTGACTTTTTCTTATGACCCATGAAACAGCTTTACAAGCACAATATTGACTTGTCCTTTACCAGGAATGTAAAGGAAACTAAAAGGCTGCAAAGATTTGACCTAACATTTTCTGAATTCTTTTATCTGTGACTCAGGCCACCTCTTGTCAAAGCCGTTCAGTAACTACTACTGAAATTGTCTTAATCAACTGCCTAAAAAGTCAATATAAGACGCATGCACCTAATCCTCTAAACCTTCACCTATCTGACTGCTGCTGATGTCTCTCTCCTTTTCTCTGTTTTTTTCCTCCTCTTTCCCAGCTTGACAGGAGTGGCCAAGTTACACTGATGAGAGGAGAGGGGGCCAGAGACACTGCCAAGCCCTTGCAGAGTTCCCGTTCAAGCTTAGGGAGAAGCAAGATGTGAGCTGCATACCAGCCAGAAGTGACAGCCAGCCTGCTCCTACAGCTTTTTTCTGTAGCATCTGCAGACAGAGCAAAGTCTGTTCACAGCTCCTGTACTTTAGAAAGGAACCCCCAAGAGCCATGCGCTCTGAAGCTAATCCAGAATCGCGAAATCTGTAAGTCACCTGACTTCTGTTCCATCTAAAGCACACTTAACCTTTTCAGAGACACATTTTTAATGCTGACGTTTCCCTTTGAAGAGCTGTTTCCACACCTGTGCAGGTGTACCAACAGCAAACTCGCACATCAAGTAGCTTAGGAAAACAGATGTGCAGAAGACAGGAAAGCTGAGAAAAATAGTTTCAGGGAGATAGGACCAGCTGTTCACACGGCAAAAACACAAGAAGTGTCAGAAGCGCTTAAACAAATTAAATATATGGTATACACAAAATCAAGTATCTGTCTCTGACCTGCATTCTGAACACAGCCTGATAAACTTCATGCAAAATGAAGTCTAAAACATATTTCCTCCGGGTCACTAGAAGTGAGCTTCAGAGAACATTTAATCTGTTTAGAGCAGACTTCTACAAATGTTCTATTGATTTGACAAGTATACCTATTAATCATAGCAGCGCAGGAAGGAAATGGGAAACAAGGTGAGCCAGAGGCCTAATTAAATAAGATAGCATAAAAGTAGAACAATACATTTAAATTGCTGACAATCAGAAAAGACATCAGAGAAGCAAGGCAAGAAACAAGGTATCAGTAGAGCTGTGGGTGGCCTGGCAGAAGAATTCAACAATACAACGTTAACGGCTCCAAATTGAGCAGATCAGCAGCTTTCTCTCGTTATGCAACTATAAACCCTCCTCCTCTCTCCTCTTTTTGTCCCTCTGTCTCTTTCAGCATGGCTAAGTGTGTTTACATGGAGACCAGCGGATATAATAAAATACTTTAAAACCCAACCTCTAGTACTGCTCTTGGGCCTCCGAGTCAGGTACTATCCAGCAGCTCTGCTGATACAATCCACTTTCTAAAAGACATTCAGCAGAAGATTGAGTGAGCAGAGTCCTTTATATGCCTAAGTGCACACAAAATGCACAAATTCTGTTCTACTTCTACATGTGTTCTCCCAAACATCCTCCTTTTCAGGGTTTCCTGTGTGCAGGGTTTAGGTGAAGCCAATCTGTCAGCTGTTGAGGCATTAGCATTAGCTACAGTGATGGTGGGCCCTCCAGGGTCTGTGCTCTAGTTGGCTCGCCTCTCTACTATGCTGGGAATATGGCTGGCTCAGAGAGATTTGTCTTAGTGAGGTGCACTGATGGGAAATGTACAGTGTGGTGCCCCTGATGAGGGCTCAGGTGGCGCAGTGTTATTTCTGCTGAAGGCTTCTCTACTTTATCACCCAGCAGAGTGCAGCATCCAGAGAGAAGATGCTAAGGGAACCCATGCCATGTGCCGTATCTTATGAAGACATTTTATGGTAATATTTGCATAAAACAGCCAACAATGTTAAAACTGCTGTAAATAAAACATTAAAATCATAGTATCTCAAGTTTATATAGGAGTAGTCAGTCTTTCCTAATTTCCTATTAGTTTATTTAACCAGTTTTGAAATATATCTAAAAGTGCATTAATAATTAAATTTAAAGGGGAGTTCTAAAATTGTTTAACTAAATGGGTACTCATGTCTAAGAACCCTAAATATGTTGTCTGAACATGTGTCTACAGTATGTGTTTTGACTGATATTGTATTTTTTGATCTTGTGTTGTTTTGTCTTCCAACCTCAGAACGACAGATGTAAATTAGCAACTATGCTATAA